CCGGCAGCGCGGCGCTCCCTCAGCACTGACCCTCCGGCAGCGCGGCGGATTAATTTGGCTGAATTACAGGGTGACTGATGCCTACTATCAGACATGTTTAGTTATAGAGTTAAACCTTCAGTGGTCACATGGTTCACTTCATTTGTTTCTCTCTTTCAGGGTAGTGAGAGAGATCAAGGGGAACCTGGAATGGTATCCTTTATGCTGTTGGCAGTAATTTATGCTGGGAGACAGTGCCCTGGGTTATAATGGTCACACTGGGGAGATTGTAAACCTCAGGAAAACCAGTCACTCAGAAGTGCCTTTTAGATGATGAGATAGAGGTGAAATAGTGAAGGGATGGATTACTAAAGTTTGGGACACTGGCAGCCGAAGGGACGCTGCCAATGGAGGAACGATGGGAATTGGGGGATCCTGGAGAGGCTGGAATCGGAGGTGTGCCGATATCTCCAAAAGGGAGGGATTTGGGGGCCAGAGGAGGTTGCAGAGGTAGTGAGCGTTGTGGGGGCTGGAGGAGGCCGCAGAGATAGCGAGTGCTGTGGGGGCCAGAGGAGGCCGCAGAGGTAGTGAGCGCTGTGGGACCGGAGGAGTTTGCAGAGGTAGGCAGGGGCATGGAGTGAGGCGCCATATGATTCGTTATTTCCTTGCAGCGACACTGAGACTTTCCTTGACTGTTTGCTTAGGAACCGGTGGGTAAAAGGCTCTGAGGTAAGTGATGTGAACATGAAGAGGTTTATCAGGATGACTTTCTATCATCTGGTTTAAAAAAAAATAAATTCACTGTGAGATTCCCAGGCAGGGACAGCATGGGGTTACATACAGAGTAAAGCTCTCGCTACGCTGTCACTATCATGAGAGAATGAATCTGCTGTCAGTCTCACATTGTGGTCAGAGTGTGCAGAATGGACGCAGTTTGCATCACGCTGTCAGTATGGCCTGTTGGGAGGGTGGTTGAGTCTTAAACAGTGTGTTTTTGTGCCACTCTCAGGCTCCGTTGTCTGACAAGGAGCAGAAGAAGAGGAGGAAGTTGCTGGAACAGCTGGTGTCTCTGAGGACTGATCTCCAACAATTGGACGAAAGCTCAGATCATGAGCAGCAAGAGATTGATGGTGAGCTGTCAGACCCCATCAGGTTGTAAGATTGGTGGGGGTAAAGGCAATGAGTATGATCAGCCTGTCATTGCAGCCTGGGCCCCTCTACCTCAACCCCTTTGGTGAACAGACTCATAGAGGTGTACAGCATAGGAACAGATGCTTTTTCAGTCCAACTCATTCACGTCGACCAGATAGACTAAACTGATCTCGTCGGATTTGCCAGCATTTGGCACATAATGCTCTAAACCCTTGCTATTCATGTACCCATCGTGATGTCTCTTAAATGTTGTGCCAGCATCCGCCACCTCCTTTTGGCAGCTCATTCCATACATGCACCAACCTCTGCATGAAAATGTTGCCCTTTTTAAATCCTTTTTAAATCTTTCCCCTCTCACCTTAAATCTATAGCCTCCTAGTTTTGGATCTCCCTATCCTTTGGAAAACCCCTATCTATGCCCCTCATGATTTTATAAATCTCTAAGGTCACCCCTCAACCCCCAACACTCCAGAGAAAATAGCCCCAGGCTATTCAGCCTCTTCCTATAGTTCAAACCCTCCAATCCTGGCAACATTCTTGTAAATCTTTTCTGAACCCTTTCAAGTTTCACAACATCTTTTGTGTAGCAGGGAGACCAACTCTTATACTCAATGCAGTGACCAATACAGGCAAGCATACCAAACACTATCCTGTCTACCTGCTAATCCACTTTCTATGAGCTTGCAATCCAAGGTCTGTTTATTCAGCAGCACTCCCCAGGACCTTACTATTAAGTGTATGAGACCTTACCAAAATGCAGCACTTCATATTTATCTAAATTAAATTCTGTCTGCCACTCCTTGGCCCATCTGATCGAAGTCCTGTTGTACTCTGAGGTAACCTCCTTCACTGTCCACTTTACCACCAATTTTAGTGTCATCTACAAACTTACTTACCATACCTCCTATATTCACATCCAAATCATGTTTATAAGTGATGAAAAGCAGTGGACCCAGCACCAGTGGACACACCACTGGTCACAGACCACCAGTCTGAAAAGCATCCCTCCACCACCATCCCCTGTCTCCGATCTTCGAGCCAATTTTATATTGAAATGACTAGCTCTCTCTGTATTCCATGTGATTGAAACTTACTAACGAGCCTACCATGAACACCTTGCTGAAGTCTATATATAGATGACATCAGCCATTATGCCTTTATCAGTCTTCTTTGTCACTTCTGCAAAAACTCAAATCAAGTTAGTGAGACAGAATTTCTCACACACGAAGCTGTATTGACTATCTTTTTTTTAAAAATTCATTGTGGGATGTAGGCGTTGCTGGCTGGCCAGCATTTTTTGCCCATCCCTAGTTGCCCTTGAGAAGGTGGCGGTGAGCTGCTTTTTTGAACCGCTGCAATCCTCCTACTGTGGGTTGACTCGCCATGCTATTAGGAAGGGAATTCCAGGTTTTTGACCCAGTGACAGTGAAGGAATGGCAATATATTTCCAAGTCAGGATGGTGAGTGACTTGGAGAGGAACTTGGAGGTGATGGTGTTCCCATGTATCTGTTGCCCTTGTCCTTCCGGATGGAAGTGGTCATGGGTTTGGAAGGTGCTCTTTGGTGAATTTCTGCAGTGCACCTTGTAGATAGTACACACTGCTGCTACTGCGTGTCGGTCCCTAACCAGTCCTTGCATCTATACCCTGGAACGCTAAGCTATTAATCCTGTCCATCCCTAAGCCACTTCTCTGTAATTGCTATGATATCCCAGTCCCATGCCCTGAGTTCATCTGCCTTACCTGTCAGGCATCTTACATTGAAATAAGTGCAGTTTAATTTAACAGTATTACCTCATTCTTTGCCTTGCTTTTGTCTGCCTTGACTGTTTGACTTGCTCTTTCCGTCAACAGTACCAGCCTCAGACTTCTCTCTCTCCTCAGTATATCTGAGTTCACACCCGCCGCCCGCGCCTCACCCCCATCCCTCCATCCCTGGTTTAAAGCCTCCTGAGTAACTCTAGCAAATCTCCCTGTCCCATATTCCTATCAATGATCATGCTGAAAGGGAGGGCAGGCTTGAAGGACTGAATGGCCTACTCCTGGTCTAATATTCTGTGCCTCTATGGACAGAAGGACCTGCCTGAAAGGGGCAGGGAGGGTGTGGAGAAAGTGCAAGAAACTTTGTGGACTAGACCCCAGTGGTGTAGATAAATGTCAGCAAGGTGGTACAGACCTGGGTCTTTTCTTCATAAAAGAGAGGAGTGACCTGGTCGAGCTCATTTAAAAATGTGACAGAGATTACAATTTGGGAGATTTAGAGACGATTTCAGTTTTCTTTTTTTGGGGGGTGTGGGCATGGAGGCCAGAATGAGGGGCCATCCATAGAAGACAGTCCCTAATTGGGAATTCAGGAGAAATGTCTTCTCCCAGAGAGTGGGAGGGTGAATGTAGGACTCGATCCCGGAGGGAGTGTGGGGTGGGAGAATGTGGGACTCGCTGCCAAATTGTGTTCAAGCTGAATTGTTTTGGTGTATTGAAGGGGGCAAGGCTGGATAAACAGATGCGAGTGAAAAAAATAAAAGGTGTGGGATGAAAAGGGGGTTGGCGATAAGACTGGTGTGGAGCAGAAATACCAGCAGAGGAGCTGAATAGCCTGTGTCAGTGTGGGGTAATTATCAGTGAGCGTGGTTTCTCCCTTGGTCACATTTTTCAGCCTGACTTGTTGCTATGCAGAGCAAACACTGATGGAGACTTGCGAGAGGCTGCAGGATCTGAAACAGCGGAATATTTTGTTAAAAACATTTCTTCAGCGTGCAGTAAACAGGAGGAAAACACTGCAGGAACAGAGCAAGAAGCTGCACGATCGACTACACGTCTTCAGACAGATCAGCAGGTAAGGAAGTATATTGAGGGAGTGCCGCGCTGTCGGAGGGTGAGTGCTGAGGGAGCGCTGCACTGCTGGAGAAATTACCAACTTTTGCCTGATTTTGAGTCTCCTTTTGGAAAAATTCACAGCTTGTCTTACTTTGTCCCCCATCCCTATTTCAGTAAAGCTGAGCAAGATGTAGGAGCGGGCAGTACTGTGGACGGCAAGTTGAGGCATGGCAATGGTTTGGAGCCCGAGGTGCTGGTGAGTGTCAGTAGGAGGATGGGCACCGAGGAACCTGTCCCTGCGGTTGTGTCCATGGGGGTGGTGCTATAATCACATCTGCCTTGTTGGGGTGGAATGAATGAGACACCTGGTTTGGGAGAAAGTGGACCATTGTACCTCCGTACCTATGCCTAGGAGAGGACGGGGAATTGAGTCCTCCCTCCTTTTAACCTATTGTCACCAATGGCTGGACCCGAGAGGGTGAATATGCTGGGTGCAGCCCCATTGCTACCAATAACAGTCCCACCCCAGATGGTCGTTTTTGTTTAGTCTGGACTGGACTGGAATGTCTTTGACAACCTGGAAGAAGGCTGAGGTGTGGCCTGATTCAAGTCGTAAAGGTAGGCAAGGGCTATTGATTGGGTAGATATAGAGAGGCTGTTTTCCACTTATTGATATGAGACTAGAACTGGAGAGGGGTGATAGACAGTCCTGCATAAATGATGAACCTCCAAGGATGCTGCCTGACAGCTGAGATCTCCAGCATTTTTGTTTTCAGGGTGAGCTTATATCCCAGTAGCCTGCAGCTGCACCTTGAGGAGCAGTATGGGCAGATATGTGGCCATTGCTGTTTAGCTTGGAGAATCAAGAAGTTCTCTTGCAGAGGCTGACGTTGTTCTCCTTGGAACACAAGAAATTGAGGGGGACATCTGATTGTGGTGATTAAGTTGGTAACTGTCTCCCTTGTCGAAGCCAATGAAAAGCTGTTCCCATTGGCTGACAGTAGGAGCACAACACGGATTAAAGGTTCTGGTTGGGAGTAGCAGGGGCAAGGTTAGAGCGGAAATATTTTTAATGCGGTGAGAGGCAATGACCCGGAATGCATTGACAATGAGGAGGTTGAAAGCAGTGGCATGAAGGATTTCACAAGGGAATTGAGATGAATAAGCTTGCAAAACAACTTCTCTGTGCTCTCACTGCACACTGTGGGAATGACCGGATCTCACTGTAGAGGGCTGGCATTGACTTGACGGACAGAATGGACCCCTTCATTGTTGCAGTGACTGGCTTTGTAAAAATCTACATGTTCTGGATTTTTGAACCTGTTTGAAAAATGTCTGATCTCACTTTTTCTGCCTCAGTCTCGCGCTCTCTCTCTCGCTCTCCACCACCACCACCACCACCACCACCCCCCACCCCCGTAGTCAGTCTGTCTTTCTTGCTCACTCACCCTCATTCAAATTGGTTTTCCCTCAGCAAGATGTTCGGGGAACATGTTTCACAAGATTCCAGCTCCTCAAGTCGTTATATGATGAACAGGAGAGTCCTATCGGAGGCGGTGGGTAAGTAGCTCTCGTGATTCCTGCATCTGTAGGACTTCTCTGCCTGGTGCCTGGCAGATCTTGAACTGAGAATCCAGGCAAGTGAAGGGGCAGTCACCACTGATGGAGCAATGGGAATCGGCTGGGAGATGGGTGAGAGGCAAGAACTTGTGTAACATTGAGATTTCAGCGGTTAGGGAGTAGAAGAGGTAACAGGGGAAAAGAGTAATTTAGCAGCTTGAGGAGGTGACAGGCGGGAAGGGGTGTCCGGGTTGGAGATCGTGACAGATGAGGAGGGGTGTTGGGACTGGAAAAGGTGTTTTGTACTCTGTGTTTATTAAAAAAATTTTCTCCTTTGCTCGCAGTGACAGGGGCTATGACCTGAGGAGTGACAGTTATCATCAGTGGCTGAACCAGATAGAGGTGAGGGCCAACTTTCGCTGGGGTATGGGGTCCCACATGCACACTGACTCTCACTGGTGTGTAGGGGCTGGTGGAGGTGACAGATGGGGAGGGGGCGTAGGGACTGGAGGAGAGATTATGTCTTTTTTTTTGTGATTTTTTTATTTTTAGCCTCTGTGTTTTTGTGCAGGGTGTTAATGCATCACATCCACCAAACCACATCTTGGCAGCAGTGCAGACTCTGGCAGCTGAGAATCAAGAGGAGCTGGTGGAACTCCAATCGAAAGTGGATGTCGGAAAGGACATGGAAGTTCTCAGGTAATCTTTGTTTGTCAGAACTTGTCCTGTGTGTAGGAAGCTTTCCTTTTATCTAACCCTGTGCTGTCCCTGTCCTGCAAGTGTTTGATGCCCCAAGAAGAATTTCCACATCAAGCAGATGTTCACCTGCACATTTGCTAATGTGGTATACTGCATCCGCTGTACCCGTTGTGGCCTCCTCTACATCGGGGAAACCAAGCGGAGCTTGGGGACCGCTTTGCAGAACACCTATGCTCGTTTCGCAATAAACAACTGCACCTCCCAGTCGCAAACCATTTCAACTCCCCTTCCCATTCCTCAGATGACATGTCCATCCTGGGCCTCCTGCAGTGCCACAACGATGCCAGCCGAAGGTTGCAGGAACAGCAACTCCTATTCCGCTTGGGAACCCTGCAGCCCAATGGTATCCATGTGGATTTCACAAGCTTCAAAATCTCCCCTCCCCCTACCGCATCCCAAAACCAGCCCAGCTCGTCCCCGCCTCCCTAACCTGTTCTTCCTCCCACCTATCCCCTCCTCCCACTTCAAGTGCACCCCCATTCCCTACCTACTAACCTCATCCCGCCCCCTTGACCTGTCCGTCCTCCCTGGACTGACCTATCTCCTCACTACCTCCCCATCTACACTCACGTTTACTGGCTCCATCCCCGCCTCTTTGACCTATCTGTTTCCTCTCCACCTATCTTCTCCTCTATCCATCTTCTATCCGCCTCCCCCACTCTTCCTATTTATTTCAGAACCCCCTTCCCCTCCCCCTTTTCTGATGAAGGGTCTAGGCCCGAAACGTCAGCCTTTCTGCTCCTCTGATGCTGCTTGGCCTGCTGTGTTCATCCAGCTCTACACCTTGTTATCACAGTGTAGAGGAATCTTTGCTTCCAGTTTTTAAAAAAAGCAGTAGAGGGTGCTTTACTCTGTATTTCACCCCTGCCTCTGTCGTCAGAGTGTTTGATGTGAATAGTTGACAGATCTTTACTTCCAGTTTTGAAAAAAAAAAGTAGAGGGAGCTTTACTCTCAGACTGCATGCACTCCATGTCCTGGAAGTGTTGATGGGCACAGTGTGGAGGCAACATTATTTTCAGTTTAAAAGATTAGAGGGACCTTTATTTTCAGTGAAAAAGCATAGGTAATTTTATACTAAGTTTTTAATACCATGCACTCCTGTCCTCTGAATGTTTGGGAACAGTGTAATGGAAACTTGACTTCCAGTTTAACAGTATTGGAAGTTTTGCTACCTATTTAAGAGTCTAGGGATGCTAACTCTGTATCTGACCCTATGTTGTCCCTGGCCTTGGAGTATTTTTTTTTATGAAGACAGTGTTGAAGGGGTTTTTAGTTTCTGTTTACATTTTAGTATAAAAGAGGAAAGGGAGATTTACTTTCAGTTTACTTCTAGTTTACAAGATCAAAGAGAGCTTTACTCTGTACCTAACGCCATGCTGCCCCAGTCCTGAGAGAGTTTGTGAAGTGTAAAAGGAGTGTTACTTTCACTGAAAGGAAAAGTGGAAGCTTTGCTTTCAATTTAAAAGAATAGATAAATGTTTCTCTCAGCTTAAAATAGTAGAGGAAATTTTACCCGGCATCTATCTCTGTATTGCACCTCTCATGGAGTGTTTGATGGGGACAATGTATAGGAAGCTTTACACAGTGTTTTTAAAAAAAAAAAAAAAAGTAAGGGAGCTTTAGTTTAAAAGAGTAGGGATAGTTTTACTCTAGCTCAGCCTGTGCTATACCTGTCGTGGGAGTGTTTGTGGGGAAAACATAGAGGAAAGTTTACTTTCCGTTTACTTGCAGTTTAAATGTGTAGAGAGAACTTTACTTTTAGCTTAAAAAAAGAGGAGAGGAGCATTACTTTTAGTTTGAGAGTAGTGGGAGCTTTACTGTGTATCTAACTCTGTGCCGTCCTTGTCCTGGGAGTGTTTGATGGGGACTGTAATAAGGGAGCTTTACTTTCAGTTTAAGAGTCAAGGTAGCTGTACCCTGCATCTGACTCTAACAGTGTTCCCTCTAGTTTGGGACTTTGAGGAGTGTGTGTGTAGACTGGGAGCTTTGGCTGTAATGTGACCGTTTGTATGTTAATGTTATATCTTTGGTGTCTCTGGCACTGGTATCCTTCTTTTGCAGGTTCTCCTACAGTCGTTCCCACTTACAGGATGTTTCGGAGACTCCTGCGGTTCTGCGCTCCGTCAAGTCTTTGCTTGAGGTTTGTACAGTGTGAGAGTGTTTAGTTTTTGAGTGCACGTGTGAATGATTGGTCACCAGACTGAACATATTCCAAGCACAGGGAGCGCCAGCCTGAAACTCTCCAATACCGTCACACTGATCACCACAAGTTCATGTTTATAATCTACAGTGCGAAAATAGTCATCTTGTTCCTTACTCCTTTCCTGTATGGTTGGTCCACAATAATCTCCTCCCAACCTTTTGTTAATCTCCCCTTGCACCTCCACCAACATTTCCTTTTTCTTCAATGTGTGTTTATGCTTCTCCCGGTTAATAGATCGACAGTCTCTGTGGGAGCAAGTCCCATGTCACCCACCCCCCACCCTGTGAGAATGGGTCCCACATTCCCCATTGAGAATTCCTTCCTAACTGAAAGTTTAATTCGCATCCACGTTCTGTTGGAATCAACACCCCATTTGAGAACATTCAGCATGCATCAAAGATGCAAGCTGCAGATGAAATTTTGTGATGTATGCCTTGACTCTCTAAAGGCTATTGACCATTTACAAGGCAAAAGTGAAGCTTGTGATGGAATACTCCCCACTTGCCTAGATGTGTAGCCCCAACAACACTTGGTAAGCTTGATGCAATCGGGGACAAAGCAACCCACTTAGTTGACATTGCATCCACAAGCATGCCCAACACCAACACTCCGTACACACTGCTGCTACTATGTACAAGAGGTACTGCAGAAATTCACCAAAGATCCTCAAACAGCTCCTTCCGAACCCATGATCACTTCCACCTAGAAGGACCAGGACAGCAGATATGTGGAAACAACAACACCTGCAACTTCCCCTCCAAGTGACTCATTGTCCTGACTTGGAAATATATCACTGTTCCTTCACTGTCACTGGGTTAAAATTCTGGAATTCTCTCCCTAAGGGCATTATGTGTCAACCTAAAGCAGGGGGACTGCAGTGGTTCGAGGAGGGCGCCCACCACCACCTTCTGAAGAGGCAATTAGTGATGGGCAATAAATGGCGCAGCCAGTGATGCCTGCATTTCCACAAGTGAATAGAATGAAACAGTTTTCGATTACTTCAAAACGTCTTCCCTTTAGCAAAACATTGCTGTGCTAGCGATTTCTAACCACCCCTTTGATGCACTGGTTTTCGTCACTGCTGCTTGTCTCTATGATTGTGTTTCTTGTATTAGTTCCTGGGATGTGGGCATCACTGGCTGGACCAGCATTTCTTGCCCATCCGTAATTGTCCTGGAGAAGGTATTAGTGAGCTGCCTTCTTGAACTGCTGCAGTCCTTGGAGTGTCAGTGGATTCCTGCTTGCTGCGATCATCAGTGAGACATTTGACCAGACAGTAATCGCTGAAAACGGACATCCTTGCAGTGACGGACTTCATCCCTTTCCAAGGTTGCCTAGAGGAGTTGGGAACATCACTCTCTGCAAGATCCATTCTGTGAATCTGCTGTACTTGTCCTTCTAGATGGAAATGTTTGTGCGTTTGGAAGATGCTGTATAAGGATGCTTGGTGAATTTCTGCAGTGTGTCTCTGCAGATAGTGCACGCTGCTGCAGTTGAGTATTGGTGGTGGCAGGAGTAAATGCTTGTGGATGTGGGGTTGGAATGGTTTGTGGCGACGTCGAGCTGCCCTGCTTGACCCCATTTCAAAACAAAATAAAATGTGGAAGATGTTAACATGAGTTTGTTTTTTGGTCCCTCGGCAGGAGGGATGGCGAGACTGTGAGGTGCGGGTGGTGGAGAAGATCGGGGCCCTCAGGCGGGACAAGGAGATGAGTGGCAGGTTGACGTTGCTGAGTCAAGAGTTTAATCGTCTGCAGGAGGAACAGTATGGGCACGATGCTGATCTCCTGTCTGCCGTCAGGTCAGAATCTCTGTCCCCTCTTTGACAGCGTGTAGAAAGCACCTTGAAGTTGGGTTAGCTCAGGTGGCCATATGGCTGATTTGCGATGCAGCGTGATGCCAACAGTGAGGGTTCGGTTCCCGCATTGGCTGAGGTTAGCATGAAGGACTGTCCTTCTCAACCTCTTCCCTTGCATCAGCTGACCTTTGGGATAAACCACCACCAATCATAGAGGTGCACAGCACAGAAACAGACCTTATGGTCCAACTTGTCCATGCTAATCAGATATCCTAAATTAACCTAGTCCCATTTGCCAGTATTTAATCCATATCCCCGTAAACCCTTCCTATTCATATAGCCATCCAGATGCCTTTTTTAAATATTGTAACTGTACCAGCCTCCACCACTTCAACTGACAGCTCTTCCATACATGCACCACTCTCTGCGTAAAAAAGTTGCCCCTTAGATCCCTTTTAAATCTTTCCCCTCTACGGGAAGCCATTTTGGATTCCCCTACCCTGGGGAGAATTTCCTTGACTATTCATCTTATCCATGTCCCTCATGATTTTATAAACCTCTTTTATAAGGTCACCCCTCAGCTTCTGACACTCCAGGGAAAATAGCCCCAGCCTATTCAGCCTGTCCCTATGGCTCAAACCCTCCAACCCTGGCAAAATCCTTGCACATCTTTTCTGAACCCTTTCAAGTTTTGCAACATCTGTGTAGCAGGGAGACCAGAATTGAATGCAGTATTCCAAAAGTGGCCTAACCAATGTCCTATATTAGCCATAACATTACCTCCCAACTCCTATATTCAATGTACCGACCAATAAAGGCAAGTTTTCTAATTGCTGCCTTCACTATCCTGTCTACCCGCAGCTCCACTTTCAAGGAACTATGAACTTGCACTCCAAGGTCTTTTTTGTTCAGCAATACTCCTCAGGACTTAAGTGTCTAAGTCCTGCCCTAACTTGCCTTTCCAAAATGCAGGACCTCTCACTTATCTAAATTAAACTCTGTCTGCCACTCCTCAGCCCATCGGCCGATCTGATCGAGATCTCGTCGTACTCTGAGGTAATCATCTTTGCTGTCCACTACACCACCAATGTGGTGTCACCTGCAAGCTTAGTAACCATACCTGCTATGTTCATATACAAATCATTTGTATAAATTACATAAAGCAGTGGACGCAGCACCGATCCTTGAGACACACCGCTGGTTGCAGGCTTCCAGTTTGAAAAGCAACGTTCTGCTACCAACCTCAGTCTCCTACCTTTGAACCAATTTTGTATCCAAGTGGCTATTTCTCCCAGTATTTCCTGTGATCTAACCTTGCTAACTAGTCTACCATACGGAACCTTGTTGAATGCCTTACTGAAGCCATGTAGGCAATGTACAACATTCTACCCACATCAATCCTCTTTGTTACTTCTTCAAAAAACTCAGTCAAATTATGATACACAATTTCCCCCAAGCTAAATTATGTTGACCATCCCTAATCAGTCCTTAGCATTCCAACTACACATAAGTCCTATCCCACCGAATCCCCTCCAACAAATTATAGAATCATAGAATTCTTAGTGTGGAAGCAGGCCATTTGGCCCATCCAGTCCACACCAATCCTCCGAAGAGCATCCCACCCAGACCCACCGCCCCCATTCTATCTCTGTAACCTTGCATTTCCCATGGTTAACCCACCTAGCCTTGCACAACCCTGGATATTATGGGCAATTTAGAATGGCCAAGCCACCTATCCTGCATGTTTTTCGACTGTGGGAAGAAACCCATTCAGACACAGGAGAATGTACAAACTCCACGCAGACAGTGACCTGATGCTGGAACTGAACCCAGGCTCCTGGCGCTGAGCCCTTTAAAAACCCCTTTTTACAACCCAACCTACCCACCACTGATGTCAGGCTCACCGGTCTACAGTTCCCTGGCTTTTCCTTACCACCTTTCTTAAATAATGGCACCATGTTAGCCAACCTCCAGTCTTTTGGCACTCCCTCCCGTGGCTCTTGATGGTACAAATATCTCGGCAAGGGGCCCAGCAATCACTTCTGTAGTTTGAGTGGAGATCTGCAAGGAGGGGATGGTAAACTGGATCCTGTAAACTGTAAGATGGGGCCACATGGAAAGCAGAAGGTGGAGCAGAGTGACTGAAAGCAGGTCCAAGTAAGTAAATGAATAGGAAAGGTTTGGAAGGATGTAGGCCAGGAGCAGGCAGGTGACTAGTTTAGTTTGGGATTATCTTCTGTGTGGGTTGGTTGGACCAAAGGGTCTCCGTGCTGTATGACTCTACAACTCTGAGTGCTGTCGACCTTCCGGCAGACGTTGAGCGGGCGTTGCTTGTGTCGTCTGCAGCCATGTCTCACTGCACTGCGCACTTGTGTTTGCAACAGGGAGGCCTCGGAGCTGGAACTGAGCATGATGGAGAAGAGGGGCTACCTTCAGGAGCTCTCAGAACAGGCTCAGCTCTTGGCAAACTCCATAGAAGCCAAGAACCGTGAGATCCAGACCCTGCAGCAGAAGCACAACAGCATTCTCCACTTTCAAGCTCTCGTGGTAAGTCCGCTGTCGACGTGTGGTTGGGGGCTTGGGACAGACTGAATCTGCCCATGACCTGCTGGAGTGAAGTTTTTACACCTGTGACCTTTCCATGTTCCCTCTGACCGCTTAGACGCCTCCCCAGTGTGAGCCAAGAGATTTCACGTGTCTGCGATTATCCTGTACGATTGTCAACGGATTTGAAAATGTATTCAACTGTTTTTCAGAGAGGAATCACAACAAAGCATCATTGCTGTCGAGATGCAGCTGTCCCATGGCATTGCAGCCAATGGGTTATGCTCATTAAAATGAGGTCACTTGGAAAAGCCATTTGGTGCACAGCACAATCCCACAAGCAGAGTGAGGGCAC